AATACGACCATTGAAACCAGCCTGAGGTAGGAGCTCGGAGTTGGCGCGACACCCTGAGAACAAAAATCCCAATAATTACGATAAGCAAATACACATTCTCATTTTACCATCCAGTTATAAGAACGGGCAATTAAAGATGATAAACTTGAAGCAAAGTAAAGATTACGTGTTCAATCTATACACAAATTTATTTATATACTTATCCATTCCTCTAACCCACCAACAATGAAAGCAAGGCCCTAAAATTAATCATTTAACCTTTTGCACATAGAACTAGTTTCGCATAAATATAAAATCTCTTTGAATCAAGTAAACATGTAAAAAACATTAACATCAATTTCTATACAACTGATTCTTCATAGTTATAAGTAAATATAAAAATAAAAACAACCGTAAACCATTCCCTAACACACATCTGTAGTAGTAAAGACTGCATTGAGATCTTTGAACTAATTTACATATTTTAATTTATTAATTCAGGCATTATTTTATTATTTGATTATTGATGTTAATCTAAAACGAATTTCAAAAGCAAAACTGCTAACATGAAAAAAGAACTTATGTTAAAAACAAATGATTATAAGTAAGTTTAAGTAATGTTTCACAGTAATCAGTCCACATCCGATAACTACGTCCTGATAACACCTAACATAATAAACCATTATTCTGCTATACTTATAACCACATTAGCCCAACACTATCAACCTATCGAATTCTGTAACAGCAGAAAGAGAAAAATGAACATAAAAACTTAAACTGAGATAAAGTTACACAGAAAAATTTCACCTAGCCTGAGATAAACACCAACACCCTCCATAACAACCATTAAAGCAATTTAAATACAAAACATCACACGAAGTGTGATAATTGATCATATAACATCGAACAAAAAAGTGCGGGCCTATGTTAACCCATAAAGTCGATAAATCGAGTAAAATTGTCTTAAATCAAACCATAACCGTACAGACCGGTACTGAACCGTACAACAACGATGTCATATGCAAAAGGTTCAACCCTTGCTTGACCGAGAAAATCCGCTTTTTTTGTACATACTCGCTGCTACATTCGAGCTAACTGACTCAACTACCCCAAGGCACGATGGAGCTCAATACCGACCAGTCAACCCGTGTATAACCGAGTAAACCGATGGAACCACGTGCCCAAGCTGGTTCTGGTAACGGGCTTAATACGTGACTTGCATTTAATTTATATTAAAGAATTTCTCGAAATAACTAGCAATGTCGCATAGGACATAGATTCCCCATATCCAACTGTTGTCAGGTTAGGAATTCGACAAAACAGCGGGACAGCATAAACAGACAAAGGCAATCAAAATACCTCCATCCTCGAACTGAACCCGGAGCACTCACGGTCCATACACTACGACAGGATTTGAAGATATGTTGAGTGACTAACAAAATTTACCTAACTAAATTGCAAAAGAAAATGACAAACCATAAAAAACTGCTGTGGTAGTTCATGTAATCAACACATTGTCAACAAAACTGATAATCCACAGTAAACTAACCTATTACATTGCTTCCCAAATTCTGTCGCTAGTTGTCTTGAAATCTTTTGGTCAAGTATTCATCAAGGAACATACTACATTAATATTATACAGCGTTAAACATATCACTTTGAATAATACAAATGTTACCAGTAACACAAAAACTCTTATTAAATATGGATAAACATACTCTCACCGCAATGGAAGCGGCGGCCAAAGTTGTAAAGATCTTCAGTCGATGAGGTGATTGTTTACTTATACTAGAAGAAGTGGTCATAACTTAAGAGAAAAGAATCCATAATTAAATGATATAGCAAAGAAAATTTAACAACACTTTGAAGACTGATGCCTGGTCTTTTCCTAATCCAAAGCCAGAACAGAACATATTGGTTCACCCCAAGCAAGTCAAATACATGTTGAATGTGCATGATAGCAGCCAAAAAGCATCAAAAGAAATTTTAAAATGCATGAGTTTACTGGCACCAATTCTAGCTCTCGTTCGAAAAAAAAGTGAGCAATAATCGGCTGACCGTGTTATGTGGATTGTGAAAATCTGAAGTATTCATAATCAGCATTGAAAACTTTGAATACTGTGCTTTATCATTAAAGATGCATACCAAAGGGTACAAAAGCTATATTAGTCAGATGGCCCTTTTTAACAACAATTTATTAAAATTGCTTATTAAGTTCATGATTCAAAAATCTAAAAGTTTCAATATATAAAACTTGAAACCTTGCATATCTGTCAAGAAAGATGATCAAGACAAGCATTATCCTAAAAGCAAACTTTTAGGAGTTATGCCCCCTTTTCAACTTAGTTATGTTCCCTCATTGGATAGAATCTAGTTGACCAAGAAAAATAATCAAGTATGCATTTTTGTTTCCATTACTTTGCTATTAAGGTGCCTTTCTGTGTTTTATCTTTCGGGATCCACTAACTAGATGTGTTCGATAGTCATGCCCATTGCAGATGAGCGATCAACACTTGTTGCTGAGTTTATTACAATATTTAAGTAGCGAATAATGTCATGTATTGACCACTTAAAAAAAAAAACATGTATTAATTATGTTCTTTTTTTTTCTTTCTTTTTCTGCAACAAATTGTTGTATTGCAATACTGTGTCAGTCATACGTGAATACATTGTAAGATGAAATACATTTTGCCATTTATAATTTCTTCTCATTAAAAACGAGCTGAGTGACATATTATAGCACAGAGTCCATCCAAAAATACGTAAAACAGCGCTGGACTTGTCATTAAAGATGGCATACAATGCTCGCAGGAGAGGAAATGGAAAAAAGGGATTCCCTTACAAAATTACCTTGTTAATTCAAAAATAATGAAACTTACATGGCTCAATATATATAATTAAATAAAAAAGAATTTCAACAAAATAAAATAACATTTTCCATATTTTAACCATTAATATTATAACAGCATCCGTGAAAATATCATGTAAAAACGATTCTATCAACAGTAAAAATATAGAAAAAAAGAAAGTTCAAATGTTTACCCAATGAAGTTAACACTAATCAAACCATAAACATATTCTTTAAGTCGAACTGAATAACCCCACATTTCTACACCCACCTGACCTTAATGAAAGATCATAACAAGCATTTTAGTAATCATTACTAAAAAATAAAAACAAAACATTTGGAAAAGCTCTGTATTATGGAAATACTTATAAAAATAGAAAAAAAGAAAATAATTTAATGCATACATCATATCCAAACTCCACTAGACCAGTTTCGCACAAAAATCTGCAGTTTCACCAAAATCAGAGCGAAACTACCATGTGAATTTTCAAAACAATAAAAACCTTTCATCAAAAATTATTATAAACAATCCCGAGCAATTGTGCTTTTATAAAAGACATAAAAGTGTCGGGGGCATCAAAATTTTAAAAGCCTAACACAATATTCTGACGAACATTCTATTACATCGGCTAAACAACGTTAGATGCACAGCTTTACACTGAACATAAGTAGTTAAGTCCAAATACACACAAATATCATAACATTGAACATCGAAAAGTAACAATGAAAGTTTTCCTTATCGCGAACATTTTAAAACACATAGACTAGTCGCGTGACCCTCGTATAGTAACCCAGCTAAAAAAAATAATTTTAACATGATTCAATAAGAACAATAACTAACTTACAAATTAGCTATTTTCTTTTATTAATAAATTTGTTCCACACGGAATTATAGTACAAGTATACTGCCCTTGACGAACACAATGATTAGATAGAATTCAGTAAGTTAAAATCTACACAGGCACCCCTCATCCTCCAATCTAAACTTCACTACAATTATCCGAACAATCAATCGGGACAGAACTGGGACACTTAATCTTACGTCATCACCTCACACAGTACTGCTTCAATCGGGGAACGATTACACAAGCAGGGCAAGTAATAACTGACACATTACTTTCCTAATATATCACGCCAAAAAAATCGTTTTTTATGTTTAATACTGCTCAAAAGGACCCATAAAAATTCGATGCTAATTGTAAGTATTTGGTCTAAAATTAAGCATGAAAAGAAAATAAGCAAACCTTTCGGGGGAATTATGTATCGGAAAAAATCGGGGGAAATTTCATGCTTGGTTACAAAATAAAATCTTAGGAACACATTACCAAGAATCTAACAAGTTCGTCATTAATCAATTGAATCGTCAACAAGTGCAAGATGCGATAGGGAGAGAAGGTGTGTGACAGCAAAAACTTTTAGGGAACTTTAAAAAGGATTGAGAAGCCGAGGAAGACATTAAAAGCCCTTTGAAAATGAGAGTGGAATTTAGTTTATTTATGACCAGCCTTTAATTTAAAGATTTTTATCGATGATATAGCAGACATAAAGTATAACAGTAAGATTCTATAATTCAAAATACAGTTAAAATATTTGCGAGATTGGGCCATAAGTTAAATAACCGCCGACCCCGCAAAACGAAAATCGAAAAACATAACAAATTAAAACACAGGTCGGCCAAAACACGCAATTAAGTGAGGGCGCAGGCGCGAAGTAGAAAAAAAACTTTGCCCCATGGCGAGGAGAGATAAGAAAAAAAGGCGCGCCCCGTAGCGAAAACACCTAATTAGCCACCCACAATTAACATTTGTGCCCGCGACCTAATTTCAACGTGTAATATATCGACTTCGCTTGGCAGGTCGCGCGACAAATACACGCTGATAGCGGGGCTCGGAATTCTTAATTAAACTCGGCGCCCGCCCTTAATTCAAGCCAAATTTCAGAACCACAAACTTGAAAGATACTGCATTACATGATTGGGGAGGCAAGGGCTTACCACGACTCAGGCAATGGCAAAGTAGCAAATCAATATTAAACAATCATAAAAAACTATAGAACATCTGTTAAATTCGCAATAAATAAAGGAATGACAGGGGTACAAAGATTGACGCACATTGGATAGATAAGCATCCTTTAAGAATGTACCAGCTCAAACTGTGCGGTGTAGAAAGAGAGAATGGGAGGTAAAAATACTGATATCTTAGAACACTTTGGAAAGACAATACAAGACCAAATACGTAAAACATATAACAAGACAAATTTACAAGAAAAGACAAAACAAATCATGAACAAAATGATTTGTGCATGAACAAAACCTGTTACAAATAGGATATGATCACAGGAACTTGAAATTCTATCACTATTAACGATAATATGCAAAATATACCCCCTATATATTATAAAAAAACACAAGGAATGAAACGCCTTTTCCCCACCCGAACATAATTTACGCCGAACAAAACAACGGATCAAAATAATCTATCTGGCCATTTCGATAAACAATACATAAATGCATCAAATACCACCGATAACTTTTTTAATTTCGTAGCTATATATGAATAATTCAACATTTTCTGATTATTTCCCACGATCTGAGTTTGTCGCCGACTCCATTTCGTGACGTCACTGGATGTTGATTCGAGGAGAATAATATTTATTAATATTATTTTTAACAAGTTCCAAAAATAACAAGTTTGCAAGTAAAATACTGTCAAACTAGAACAAATGACTGATTTATTTCTTACGACAGGGCTGAATTTATTTGATGGGCCATATCAAATAGAGTACTCAATTTTTTTTTAAAAACGAAAGTACTATTTCAAAGATTTACCGTTCTTGTTTGGGGTTTCCCTTTCAAATGTATTTATAAAAGTAATTTGTTAAAAAAGTTTTACATGTAGATGTTTAAATCTATTTACATAGAATAATTTGTATAAAAGTTTTATACATACCTGTTATTTTTTTAGCCTTATTAAAAATAATTTTAATAAATATTATTCTCCTCGATTCAAAATCCAGTGAGGTCACAGAATGGAGTCGGCGACAAACTCAGATCGCAGGAAATAATCAGAAAATGTTGAATCATTCCTACACAGCTACGCGATTTTAAAAAGTTATCGGTGGTATTTGATGCATTAATGTATTGTTTATCGAAATGGCCAGATAGAATAATTTGATCCGTTGTTTTGTTGATTTGTTCGGCGTAAATTATGTTCGGGTGGGGAAAAGGCGTTTCATTCCTTGTGTTTTTTTAGCTCGACTATTCGAAGAATATGAGAGCTATTGTAGTCGCCCCGGCGTCGGCGTCAGCGTCCGCGTCGGCGTCTGCGTTGGTTAAAGTTTTTTGTAAAGTCAAATATCTCAATTATTACTTGAGATATTCAATTGAAACTTACAATACTTATTTATAGTAACAAGGTACATAAGATTGACAAGTTGGATAACTCTGCCTACAATATTGACAGAATTATGCCCCTTTTTAACTTAGAAAATTTTGGTTAAAGTTTTTTGTAAAGTCAAATATCTCAATTATTGCTTGAGATATTCAATTTAAACTTACAATACTTATTTATAGTAACAAGGTACATCAGATTGACAAGTTGGATAACTCTGCCTACAATATTGACAGAATTATGCCCCTTTTTAACTTAGAAATTTTGGTTAAAGTTTTTTGTAAAGTCAAATATCTCTATTATTGCTTGAGATATTCAATTGAAACTTACAATACTTATTTATAGTAACAAGGTACATCAGATTGACAAGTTGGATAACTCTGTCTACAATATTGACAAAATTATGCCCCTTTGGAACTTAGAATTTTGGTTAAAGTTTTTTTGTAAAGTCAAATATCTCAATTATTGCTTGAGATATTCAATTGAAATTTAAAATACTTTTTTATAGTAACAATGTTCATCAGTTTGCAAAATTGCATTACTCTGCCTGCAATATTTGCAGAATTATTTGCCCCTTTGAAACTTAGAAATTTGGTTAAAGGTTTTCAAAGATATTTACTTGAAACTTTACACATGCACTTAGGTTCATAATTGGAAGGTCATAATTGTATGTCATTGACCAAGTTCCATAACTCTATCTTGCATTAAGGCTGATTCATATCCCCTTTTCTACTTAGTCTCTTGGTTAATGTTTACATGCAAGTTTTACATATCTCAATAACTTTTAAAGATATTTATTTAAAACTTCACATATGATTTAGGGTCATAATTGTAGGTCACTGACAAAGATCCATAATTCTATCTTGCATTTAGGCGGATTTTTCTCCCCTTCTTTCAACTTAGAAATTCTTGGTAAAGTTTTGCTTGTAAGCTGTTATATCAACAACTACTGAAGGGTTTGTGCCTTTTTTGGGACAATTTTATGCATTCATGATAATAAAGCAGTGATTTACTTGATAAAACATCTTAATAACAAGCCTTTGTACCTTTTCTGTCAAATTTATGTATTCATAGGTAATTAATATTATTATACTCAATAAAACACCCTAAGTGACATTTCCTTCCGAATAGTCAAGCCAATACTGTATAATTAGACCCTCTCTAAGGCCTATAACATGAATTTATAAAAAAAAATTTAGCCCTTTTGTGAACTTAAAAAATTTAACAGTATCAAAGCTCTTTTACTATCAAGCACTTAGAATAGTCGAGCATGCTGTCCTACCGACAGCTCTTGTTATAGTATATAGGGGGTATATTTGGATATTATAATTAATATTGGTTATTTGATAGAATTTCAAGTTCCTGTGGTATGATTGAAGTTATCTTACACAACTTATGCTATTGCTTAAATATATGGAATATGGTGTTCAAATTTAGTAAGGCATACACTAACATTTAACAGTAAGGTAAGCTAAAAAGGTTAATGTAATGTCTCAAGTGTGTCATGTGGTTCTGGTAACAATAATGTGGCTCCTGCAGATTTCGGGCACATGCTAAGTTTTGTTTTAGTACAACAAAAGATAAACCTGTGAAAGCACCAAACAATGATGCATTATAATAATTCTTATGTTAATGTATTTTTACGATAAAAACAATTTTTTGCTCAGGTGGGGTTATTTACCTGTGAAGAAGTTAATGACACTAGTTGTGTCTTTTCTGTAAAATAAAATGGCTGGTATTTATCTGCTGTGTGAAACAGTAATAAGAGATAATAGCATGTTGATCATGGTCATGAATATATCACTTTGTTGATAATGGCAGGAAATAAAGTATTTAATTGAGGTAATCATTCTAAGGCATGCATTTAACCCATTACAGCCGGAGCCTTGATTCACAATGCACTAAGTAAACTGTATAATGTAACTAAGAAGAACCAGATAGCTGATCAGATACGAGACATGCTGACTGACGAAGGTTCGCCGGAGAAAGTTCATATCATATCACAGTACCTGGAGTTGTTAGAGACCGACCCAGACTCGGAATATAGATACGAGAATGAAGATTGGTTTGAAGGTAGAAATTGATGTTTCTTACATGCATGACATATTTAATGTTTATTTATCATCATCATGAAAATGTTTAAATTGGGCAACTTTTTCCAATTGAGTGTGAGTTATATTATTTTCGGGATGTTAGTCACAGTACAAAGTTTCTCAATCCTATAAATAGCCACTTATTCTTCCAAATGAACTGATGTGAAGAATTAATTCATAGAACCTAGGTTTAAAGATATGTACAGTTTTATATCTTTACTCTTGTTTGGGCATAAACAACCAAGTGGTTAATATCAATGACTTCCAACAACTTGAATCTCAATGCAGTGAGTTTTGAATCCCACCAGGGACTTGGAAGCATTCATTGAGGAAGCTATCCATCTAGCTTACGAAACATTGGTGGTTCTACTCAGATGCCCTTTTCGGTTTGAAATAATACACAGAGATGCAGATGTACCATGGGTCTTTCTCCACTTATAAAGCTAGAAAGTTGCCATATGACCTCTACTGTGTTGATACAACATAAAACAGCACCAAACAAAAAAAGTTCTTTCAGATGCTTTAGTTTTCTTATGAATGAAAAAATGTTGTATCTCTTCTCTAATTAAATTAATCAAAACAAAAAGTTACTCAATATTCTTATAGTTGGAAATTTTAGTTAACAAAATACTTTAAACTTTCAGGTTTAAACAAGAAGTATAAAACAAAACAGGAGGTGATGAGACACAATGCTCAGACCAGAATCAGGAGTTACTTTAACTCGGTAAAAAAACATTGCTCTTTTCATATTTACAGTCATCCTTTTTGGAATTTTCAAAACAACCTGTGGCGTTCTGAAGTAGGAAAATATAGCACAAAAAATTAGAAAAAGGGAAAACCCAGAAATCATATTCTAAAAACTGAGAATGGAATTTACCCACACATTGTATCAAATTTTCAATTTCAGTTCAGTTTAACATGCATGGTTCATAGCAGGGACAGTTTTCTGTCTTTCATTCAGTTAAATTTATCAACTAGCTGATATAAGTTAGCTGTTTTTAAATCATGTTAATTGCGAAAAAAGTGCACTTAGCATTTTAGGGGAAAATACTTATATTGTTAAATTTTTTAACTTGTTTACCGAATTGAGAGTTATAGTTACTTTACCATGGTTAGCAATGGTAAAGAGATTGTTTGAACATATTTAATAATGTTTAAAAAATAACTTGACTAAGAGGTTAGTTGTTCTATTTTATTGCCATTTTAAGATTAAGACTTTGCTTCTCGGTTATACCGTAATCGAGATAATTTTGAAAATTGCAAAATCATTGAGATTCATTTCTTTAAAAATTTCTTTATTTATTTTTCTTTTTTGGACATACAATGTTATTCTATTCAGTTTTAATACTTTATTGTCCTATTATTATTTTACATGTACTTTATAAAGAAAATATCGAATTAAATTTAATATATACAATATAATTAACTTTAAATATATACTATCAAATTAACTTTATATACAGAGAAAAATCAGTATTCTGGAACAATTTATATATTATATCAGTATACTAGATTGAGATTTAAAGTAAAATCTACTTCACGGGACACTCTTCTCCATTTCTTGAGATATTTTTTATCATAATGAACGATGAATAATGTATTGTTTTCAGTATCTCAGTAACAAAATATAAACTTGAAGTATATATGATATTTAAGGCTAAGGAACAGATAGAAAAAGATAATGATGTTGGTGCTAAGGAGACACTGTCTGATTTAGTAGACCAGCTTAATGCAACTTTGAAGAAGAACGATTTCCATGGAGCATATTTTGATCGTACCGCCAAACCTAATGACCGTCTGTGTGACAAGAAAGGCTGGTTTCAGTGTGAAGGACCATTTGATAGCGAGAGATGTGATAGTTTTCATACAATAAATCCTTATGCTTCGAGAGGTTATCGGCAACTGTTTGGGTTGTGGAATTTAGATCATGTGTAAGTAGATATATCTGCTAATGTATTTTGATTTTTAACTTCCCAGAGGTAAAGTTTTTACCATCACTAGGAGATTTTGTGGCTGAGTGGTGAATATTACTTATTGTCTTCTGATCATTGCTTGTTATGATTGTTAGTTTAAATTCTACTAATATTGGTAATGAATTCTTTCTTGTAAGAAAGTTTTTCCGCTAGTTTACGGATTGCCATTCTGTCAGGTTGTTTGCTGAGATACGAGGAATGATGTCAAGGGTCACATTGAGTCTTCTTTCTTAACCATTGGAGATGGAAAGTTCTCAACTTCTCATGGTGTTGGTGTGACTGTAAATACATAGAGGATATTGAATGAGTGTAAGTTTAATACTGAATTTATTGCACGAGTTGAATAAAATTATATTGTGCGAGCCTCTGGCGAGCATAATATTATTTTATTCAACGAGTGCAATAAATTCAGTAATGAACTTACACGAATTTAATATTCTATTTATCACATACCCAAAATAAAGACCATTTAAAGTGAAATAAGAGTCATTTTTCATTTTCATGATAGGAATGTTACTAAACTAGCTATGTGCTACTCTTGTCTTAGGAAGTAAGCTTATGCAAATCAATAAAGGTGCACTTATAAGCTCAACCATCATTAATGAGCCACGTCTTGACAAAACCAACATAGTGGGTTTGTGACCAGCATGGATCCAGACCATCCGCGCAGTCTGATCAGGATCCATGCTGTTCGCTTACCAACTCTATTACAAGTGGAGAAACTGACTGCGAACAGCATGGATCCTGACCAGACTGCGCGGATGGTCTGGATCCATGCTGGTCGCAAACCCACTATGTTGGTTTTGTTGTGACACGGCTGAAATTTTAAATGTTCATGGTTGTTCATCTTAAAATAATACCCCCATTAATGACATCAATAAGTTTGTTTAATTAACAGCATTGGGTAAAAGTTTGCCCAACTTTGGTGATCACTTGCTTTTAAATAGCCTCACATTAAAGAACCTTTAAAATCTGAACTAAAATATTTGGTTGTGACATTGCCTTGTTCTATATAGTATGCTCAAACGCAATGGATTTCATATCAATGTTGGTTCACCATGACCTTGTTATGTTAGCCACTAGCCAGTACTTTCATTCATGACCATGGCTGAATGGTTAAGGTAACTGACTTCAGATCACTAGCCCATTACCTCTGTGGGTTCAAATCTCAACAAGAACTTGAATAGTATTCTTGTGAGAAATAAATTATCCAGCTAGCATAGCAAACAGAAGGTTGGTGGTTCTACCTAGGTGCCAGCTTGTGTCTTAAATAATGTAAGAAAGTGCACCTTAGGTAAAGCTAGAAAGAGAGCATTGCAATAAGCTTTTAGTGCAATCCAGTTTATTATGATATTGTATTAATTTCCAGTATGTTGTATGGGGTTGTAACTTAGTAAAAAAATAAATATGTTCAAACCAAAGCTAGAAAATTTGACATATGTCTTTGACTTTTTATGTGTGACTTAAATTCTTAATTTATTCCAACTAAAATATATGGTTTTGATATGCTTTCTTTACAAAATCATGTGAGATTGTTTAACTAAAAACTGTTTTGATATTTTGATCTTAATTTCAGTATAGAGAAATCTAGAGAAATTTTACCGACATTAATCGAGGCAGCAAAGACCAGAAAGAAACACGAGCAGATCAACTGGGAGTACGTGTATAAATTATTGTTTACGAAGAATAACCTGAAGCTCGTGCAAATTGGCTGCCATAAAAAGGCTGCGAGAACTCAGACTTGCAGTGTACAAGATTTCCTCATTAGCTGATGATCGGTTTGGGCATGGATAATAGTATTTCATGTTCTATACTGCCCTATTCTGCGGTATAGATTATTATTTATTTAAAAGAGATAGATGACTTAAGAGTATAAATCACCTGGCCCTGTGTTTACTAAGATTAAACCAAAACTCAAATACATGTATTCTCCATTGTATCGTCGTAAATTAAAATATTTATCTTGATCCTAAAATTGATCCAATTATTTTTGTATTTGTTCTGTTATTCATTGATTTTTATCTCAAAATAGGTTTGCTTCTTTGCATTTTGTTTACATTTTGAATAATTTTTATGTTCCATTCAATTCTAGCAAGATAAAATCAATTTGAGAGTTTTATATAACAATGAAAATACAATCAGGATCTTTTTATCCTGATCTTTTTCTTAGTGAACACACAGCCTGTATTGTAGACAGGGATTCACAATACATTGACACTATTGTTTTTATCAGTACTTAAAATATGGTAAATTTAACCATTGTTGTCTAATCCACTTTAATGGCCGTCACTTTCAAAGAAAATTTCAATCTTAAAGTTTAATAACAGAAAAAGGAATTATAGTTGTCACAGGATGTAATTTCTACTTGCTATTTAATTTGTCTTTCTCACAAAGGCTTTCTGTTCGGCCATCATAATGTTATTCTTTTTGTATATCATTTTCATATTTAAGAAGGTTTTTATGCCACCGCAGCATCTGCGATGCGGTGGCATGTAGCGATTCACCTGTGTGTTTGTGTGTTCTATAGATTATATAGTGAACTTAAAAAATCTTCTTGTGAAAAACCACTAGTCCAATTTCAACCAAACTTGGCAGGATTGATCCTTGGATGAAGGGCTTCCAAAGTTGTTCAAAGAATTTCATTCCATGCAGAAATCTGGTTGCCATGGCAACCAAAAGGAATTATAAGAATAAACTTAAAAAATCTTCTTGTAAAGACCCAAAAGGCCTAGAGCTTAGATATTTTGCATAAGGCATTGTCTGGTAGACCTCTACCAAGATTGTTCAAATTATAGCCCTGGGGTCCAAATCGGCCCGGCCCCAGGGGTCATTGATTTTCACTGTATGTACATATAGTAAAAATTAAAATACCCTCTTGTCTGAAGGTACTAGGCTTAGAGGTTTGATATTTGGTATGTGTTATTATCTATAGGTATTCTACCAAAGTTGTTCAAATTTTGCCTCAAGTGTCAAAATCAGCCCCACCCCGGGGGTCATAGGTTTTCCTTATATGTATATAGTAAAAACCAGCAAAGTCTTGTGAATCAGTACACTAGGGATATGGACTATTTGAAAAGAAATCTGAACATGGCTGAACAGCTTATTGAACATTATTCAAACTGGCTTAAGAAACGTCTTTTTGTAAAATGAGCACGTTTTGATATTTTCAGTTTAGATCTGATGTTTGAAATAATATTTTTGGTGAACGCAATATCGTGTGTGAAAATTCTATATTACCTACTTGTTTAGACGTAACAGCTAAACGAGTGGGGGGGAATTTTTAAGCCTATGCAGAATTCCTTTGCAAACCCTTTAGTCAAACATCAAACAAAAAAGAGAGAAATGGGGCCGTTTTAATACAACAAATAAAAAAAACCCATTATGTTAGCGACATGAACATAGCTTTACCGATTTTACATGTTGGAAACAAATCACATGCTCAATGAAAGATCCGAAACGATAATAAAAAGATCTAAGAAAACTTGAATAATATCTTGATTAAAGCGATGTCATAAAAAATCATCTTCTCTAAATTCACAAAGGCTAGATGTTAGATATTTTGCATGAAAGATTGTGTAGTGAACCTTTAGGAAGATTGCACAAATTAAAGCCCTGGGGTCAAAATTGGCCCCGCCCCGGGGTTCATTGATTTTCAATAAGTACATATAGTAAAAAATAAAAAAATGTTATTGTCTAAAGGTACAAGGCTTAGAGCTTTGATATTTGGTATATGATATCATCTATAGGTACTCTACCAAATGTTCAAATTTTGCCTCTAGTGTCAAAACTAGCCCCGCCCCGGGGGTCATAGGTTTTCCTTACATGTACATGTATATAGTAAAAACTTTAAAAAATCATCTTCTCTAATTGACAAAGGCTAGAGTTAAGACATTTTGCATTAAATATTGTGTAGTGAACCTCTAGTAAGGTTATTCAAATTTAAAGCCCTGGGGTATTTTGCATCTAGTGTCAAAACTAGCCCCGCCCCGGGGGTCATAGGTTTTCCTTACATGTATATAGTAAAAACTTTAAAAAAACATCTTCTCTAATTGACAAAGGCTAGAGGTTAGACATTTTGCATTAAATATTGTGTAGTGAACCTCTAGTAAGATTATTCAAATTAAAGCCCTGGGGTCAAAATTGGCCCCGCCCCTGGGGATCATTGATTTTCAGTCACTATGTTTTAAAGTAAAACATTAAAAATCTTATTGTCTGAAGGTACTATTGTGTTCCTACATTACTATTTAGTGTTGTATTTATGCAGTGGCATGGCATTTTTAGCTCACCATAGCCGAAGGCTCAGGGTGAGCTATTAGTATCAAAGGGGGATACTCCGGCGTCCGTCGTCATGCGTCAACAATCATCTTCTTCTCTGAAACCGCTGGACAGATTTACTTCAAATTTGGTCTGTAGCATCCTTGTGACAGTCACACTTGAATTTGCTCATGCCATTTCAATTGGCCCCTTTTAGGGGTCAACAGAGCTAAAAATAGAAAAACCATTAAACATCTTCTTATACAGAACTAATAGATGGATGATCACCAAACTTTGTCTGTATAACAGTAGCATTCTTGGATAGTCTTTTATCAAGTTTGCTCATATTGATTTGATTGGCCCTTTTAGGGGTCTCTATGGCTAAAAATAGAAAAAAACCTTTAGACATATTTTTCTACAGAACTAATTGATGGATGTTCACGAAACTTTGTCTGTAGCGTTCTTGGATAGTCTTTTATCAAGTTTGCTCATATTAATTTGAATGGCCCCTTTTAGGGGTCTCTAGGGCTAAAAATAGAAAAAAACCTTTAGACATCTTCTTCTACAGAACTAATGGATGGATGATCACCAAACTTTGTCTGTATCATTTTTGGGTAGTCTTTTATCAAGTTTGCTCATATCAATTTGATTGGCCCTTTTTGCTAAAGCTAAAATTAGAAATTACTTTAAACATCTATATCTAAAGAACTATATGATGGATGATCACCAAACTTTGTCTGTAGCATTCTTGGGTAGTCTTTTATCAAATTTGCTCATATTAATTTGATTGGTTCCTTTTAGGGGTCTCTAGACCTAAAAATAGAAAATCATTTAGACATCTTCTACAGAACCAATTGATGGATGATCACCAAACTTTGTCTGTAGCATTCTTAGGTAGTCTTTTATCAAATTTGCTCATATTAATTTGATAGGCCCCCTTTTAGGGGTCAAGGGAGCTAAAAATGATATAAACCTTTAGACAGCTTTTTTCTACAGAAAACTTATTGATGGATGATCACCAAACTTTGTTATTAGCATTCTTATAGTATCTCTTATAAAAATTGCTCATATTTATTTGATTGGCCCCTTTTAGGGATTGCTAAAGCTAAGATACCCCAGACCATGGCATTTCTTCAAATTATAGTTTAATGAAAGGGAAACAACTCTTGCTGGAATTTCTTTCATACATGTGAATGACCTGCTGTTTGCTGATGAAATTATTGAGGTCATGACCTCTTATGAAATAACTTAAGCACATTATACAAGATATATAAGAACTTAGTATCAAGCTTTATTTGGTTTCATTCATATTCACTTAATTACATCACTTCATGCAGTGTTTTCTCTAGAGAGCGTTTTCTGCGTTTTTGACACAGTACTTTTGCATTTGATGCGGTAATATTATAGCTGTGTGTTTTCCGTGACGCATGAATCTCACCATACTGTTACATTTAATCATATAGTATGTAACCTTATTAATTTTAACCTGTGGTTTTGAATTTTAATGCAGCTTCTTCTTTTTTCTTACTTAATGTCTGTAAATTTACAGATGCAAAAATCTGTAAAATTATGGCTCGTCCAAAAATTTACAGACTGTCCGTAAATATCATGAAATCCTAGACCTGTTTATTCTGCATTATTTTATTCTACATAGTCTCATGGGAACACACTTGCAACATAGATATTTCTAACAAAGCCTCCAAAATATTAGGGCAAAATATTTCAATAATTTAAATTAGAAGGGCAAGTAAAAGTTGAGCTGGACTGGTCTTTCAGCAAGTTCTTTGAAAAATAACACTGAAAAACAGTTGTTTCTGGTGAGAGACACAGGGCCATCATGGCCCTCTTGTTTACAAATGCAATCTTGTTTATATTTATGTTATTATTGTATAAATTTTTTATGTCCATAATACGCAATGTTTTTGGTTTTTTAGCTCACCTGTCACAAAGTGACAGGGTGAGCTTTTGTAATCGCTTTTCGTCCGGCGTCCGTCCGGCGTCCGTCCGTAAACTTTTGCTTTAAATGACATCTCCTCATAAACCACTGAGCCAATTTCATCCAAACTTCACAGGAATGTTCCTTTGGTGGTCACCTTTAAAAATTGTTCAAAGAACTTAATTCCATGCAGAACTCTGGTTGCCATGGCAACCGAAAGAAAAATCTTTAAATATCTTCTTTTAAACAACCCTAAGAGCTAGAGCTTAGATATTTGGCATGAAACATCTTCTAGTGAGTGTCTACCAAATTCGTTCAAATAAAAGCCCTGGGGTGAAAATTGGCCCCGCCCCGGGGGGTCATTGATTTTCCCTATATGCATATAGTAAAAACTTAAAAAATCTTCTTTAAAAGAACCGTAAGAGCTATAGCTAAGATATTAAGCATGAAATATTTTCTAGTGAATGTCTACCAAGTTTGTTAAAATAAAAGCCCTGGGGTCAAAATTGGCCCCGCCCCAGGGGGCCATTGATTTTCCCTATATGCATATAGTAAAAACTTAAAAATCTTCTTTTAAAGAACCCAAAGAGCTAGAGGTAAGATATTAAGCATGAAACATCTTCTAGTGAGTGTCTACCAAGTTTGTTCAAATTAAAACCCAGGGGTCAAAATGGGCCCCGCTCCGGGGGGTCATTGATTTTCCCTATATGCATATAGTAAAAACTTAAAAAATCTTCTTTTAAAGAACCATAAGAGCTAGAGCTTAGATATTTTGCATGAAACATCTTCTAGTGAATGTCTACCAAGTTTGTTCAAATAAAAGCCCTGGGGTCAAAATTGACCCCGCCCCAGGGGGTCATAGATTTTTCCCTATAATGCATATAGTAAAAATTAAAAAATCTTCTTTTAAAGAACCCAAAGAGCTAGAGCTAAGATATTTAGCATGAAACATCTTCTAATGAGTGTCTACCAGTTTGTTCAAATAAAAGCCCTGGGGTCAAAATTGGCCCCGCCCCAGGGGGTCATTGAATTTTCCCTATATGCATATAGTAAAAACTTAAAAAATCTTCTTTTAAAAGAACTCAATAAAGCTAGAGCTAAGATATTTAGCATGAAACAAAGGGTGTTCTAATGGGTGTCTACCAAGTATGTTCAAATAAAAGTCCTGGGGGTCAAAACTGGCCCCGCCCGGGGGGTCATTGATTTTTCTTATCTGTGTAAAGCAAAAACTTAAAAATCTTCTTTGAAAGAACCCAAAGAGCTAGAGCTAAGATATTTAGCATGAAACATCTTCTAATGAGTGTCTACCAAGTTTGTTCAAATAAAAGCCCTGGGGTCAAAATTGGCCCCGCCCCAGGGGGTCATTGATTTTCCCTATATGCATATAGTAAAAACTTAAAAAATCTTCTTTTAAAGAACTCAATAAGCTAGAGCTAAGATATTTAGCATGAAAACATGTTCTAATGGGTGTCTACCAAGTATGATCAAATAAAAGTCCTGGGGTCAAAACTGGCCCTGCCCGGGGGTCATTGATTTTCCTTATCTGTGTATAGCAAAAACTTAAAAATCTTCTTTGTAAAAAAACCCAAATAGCTAGAGTTTAGATATTAAGCATGAAAACATCTTTAAGTAAATATCTAACAAAGTTTGTTCAAATAAAGGCCCGGGGGTCAAAAACTGGCCCTGCCCCAGGGGTGTCATTGTTTTTAACTATATGTGTATAGTAAAAACTTTAAAAATCTTCTTTTAAAAAACCCAATGAGCTAGAACTTAGATGTTTAGCATGTAACATCTTCTTATGGGTGTCTACCAAGTCTGTTCAAATAAACAAATAAAAGCCCTTGGGTAAAAATTGGCCCGGGTGGGGGGGCCTATATACAGGTGAGCGACCTCAGGGCCATCATGGCCCTCTTGTTTATGAATATACAGAAATGTTTGATTACTTTGATGCAATGATGTATTAATTAGACTTATGCCTTCCTATTATACAACATGTGGCAAGAACAACAAAATTCAACAAATTGTGAGCGTAAATTTAACTCATATTGCTGAATTCACAAATTCAAAAACCTAGCTAAACACTGTTTTCCGGTACTTTCTGTACATAGCTCTGGGGAATTCACCCTAATGGAGTGTAAAAGTGAACTCTATGTTTTTGTCATTTTTTTAAATTGAACTGAAATTAAGCAGTTATTTCTTTGTAAGAAAATAATTAAATA